GGGATCAGTTGGAGAGGCAGTGGAAAGGTTCACCCACAATTCAGTCTGGTATCTGTCATTAGAGACGTGAACAACTGGACATCAGGAGGTGACTCATCATTTAGAACACTTTCAAGTCCTGCCTGCTCCTCCCAGTCTGTCTACAGCCCAAGTATGGGGCCTTAGAGTGACAGGAGCGTGCTGTCCACCCGGGGAGATGACGCGGTGGGTCCTTAGAGTGACAGGTGCATGCTGTCCACCCGGGGAGATGACGCAATGGGTCCTTAGAGTGACAGGGGCGTGCTGTCCACCCGGGGAGATGACGCAGTGGGTCCTTAGAGTGACAGGTGCATGCTGTCCACCCGGGGAGATGACGCAATGGGTCCTTAGAGTGACAGGGGCGTGCTGTCCACCCGGGGAGATGACGCGGTGGGTCCTTAGAGTGACCGGGGCGTGCTGTCCACCCGGGGAGATGACGCAGTGGATCCTTAGAGAGACAGGAGCGTGCTGTCCACCTGGGGAGATGACACAAGCTTCCTGTCTGAGTGCTGGCTAAGGGTTCCACAACCTGCCATTTTGAGAAGAGTGTGTGCGCCTGTGTATGTGTGTTAGTCACTCAGTCACGTCTGACTCTTCGCAACCCCACAGACTTGGGGTTGCAAGCCATGAAGCTTGCCGGGCCCCTCTCTCCATGGAATTCTCCAGGCAAGAATACTGGAGAGGGTTGCCATTTCCTTTTCCAGGGGATCTTAACAACCCAGGGATTGAACCAGGGTCTCCTGCATTGCAGGTGAATTCTTTACTGCCTGAGTACAATGCTGACAGTTAATGAAAAGAGTCAGATACATTCCAATGAAATAATCTGGGGACCAACCTAAATGTGAGGTGGCTTAGATATACTTCCTTCCTCCAGAGGGCAAACGTTGTTTATTTGTGGAAACACCATATGATTTTTAAATTAGACAAACGCGCCTCTATGAATTGTTAGATGTACGACTCTCAGTTACTTAATTTTACTGAGCCTCAGTTTCTCTGTCTGTAAAACTATAAATAATGATTCTTACCTCACAAATCTGCTACAAAGAAATCAGACGACATACATAAACTGCCTGAGAGAGAGCATGGCAACTTACAGTTCATCAGTCAACACTAGAACCTGTTCCATCTCCCCGTCTTTGTCATGGAGGAACATCCATGAGAGTGTGTTCTGTTTTTCAATGCAAAGTCTCACAGTCTCCTAAGAGCATAACTAACATTAACTGAGGGATTACTGTGCTGGGAACCATAGTGAGTTTTCCAAAGTATTATCTAATTTTAGTAACAAGCCTATTAGGTAGGTACTTTTATTATCATCTCTTTTTTACAAACGAGGACACTGTAAACTGGTTTTCCTTGTCTTCTCATGTATGTAGTAAAGAACAAGGAGGGAGTCAAACTAGGTAATTGGGATCCAAAACTCACATTCTTGACAATACACCATCCATTTTCCACTAAAGACATTTAATCAAAAATTTAAAAATCTAAGCGAAAAATCAGAATTAAGAAAATAGTCTTGTCTTTGCAATGTGTTTAAATGTTGGTACTACTGGCATGGGATCATCTCTTCTATTTTATATTTAGGGAAAAAGTTCAATGTTCAATGAAATATATTAAAACAGCTTGTCACTGTTATTCTATTTAGTTCTTTCAAAAATTAAAACAACTAGTAATGGTATTTTGTAAAAATTAAGCTTTAAAGTTAACTACTACATGACTAAGGAAAGCTCCCTTAATCCTTCTGGGAAAAAAGTTTCTCTCTTTTGCCTCACTCCAAGGGAACAATGATAAAAGAACACTTCTTTCTCAATGGATACCTAAACCACAATCACAATCCTGGTTACATGCAAGAATCATACAAAAAGCTTTTCAAAAATACAGGTTCTTTGGATCTGATGGCTCAGAACCTCTGGAGGAGGAGAGCCTGAAAAGTCTGAAGCATATCAAAACTGATTACCACTGAATAGATTCCAGAAGGGGAGAAGTTTTCCTGGCTCTAAGCGCTCCAAAAGAGAAAGACAGAATGGAGATAATCTGGGAATTGGGGGAAGTGCAGAGATATATCTGTCTACACTTCTTGCCTGAAATAGATCCTGCCAGACCCTTGCTGAGAGGCCAGGAAGTGTTGCCCAGTGAGCCTCTGTGGCTCTAAATGCAGTCGAGCATGCCCAGTGGCACCGTCCCTTTAAGCAGTAAGCGGTCCCTGGAGGCCACTGTCTGCTTGCGGTCCATGCTTGGGTTTCCCAGGTGGTGCTAGTGGTAAAGAACCCACCTGCCACGCTAGTTTGGCTTTAAGATGATAGGCCTTAACAAGGTCAGAAAACACTAAGAAGACCTTTCCTGCTGGCCTCCACCTACCTTTTCAGACTTACTGCACCTTCTTATACCTCTTGTTCGTGTCTCCAACCCAGTAAACTCGTTCATGTCTCTGAAATTTCATAGATTCAAGTTCTACCCTTTGGCACGAAATATAAAACACCCTCTCCCCAAACACTGTTTTCCTCCTCTTCTTTTTCCCCTTCTCGTTCTCCCTCTCTGTCTCTTCTCCCTCCTGTCTCCATCCCTCTTTCTCTCTCTCCCTCCCCCGCCTCACCAATTGTCTAATTAATTCCAAATTATCTTTAAAAGCTCATTTCAAATGAGTCCTTCAAAGAAGCCTTCCTTGCCTGCCCTCCCCACAAAGTCAGGAGTCCGGTCTCAGTGGTAATTGATCATCTCACTCTCTTAACTTTTCTTTGTAGTACCTACCAGAGTCTAGCATTAAGACTTACTGGTGACACTTTTAATTTCTGTCTCCTCCACTTAAATCGAGAGTTGAGTTAGAATCCCTTTTGCTCCCTCTGCCCAGACCTAACCAAATGCCTTTCCTTTAGTGCAGGTTCAAACACTGTTGAACAAATGAAGTGAAAGAGAGACTACTTTGGATGATCCTTTTCCCCTACATCTATGGCAGAAAGCTATCTCACTGATTTATTCAATAAAATGTTTTGAATTCTTCCCATGTGCCAATACCTGTGAGAATTAAATGATAAATAAAAAATAGACTCATTCCTTGAAGTCCTTAAGAGTCTGCATGCATCCTCAATCGCTTCAGTCATGTCTGACTCTTTGTGACCCTATGGACTGTAGCCCGCCAGGCTCCTATTGTCCATGGGATTCTCCAGACAAGAATACTGGAGTGGGTTGCCATGCCCTTCTCCAGGGGAATCGTCCCAACCCAGGAATTGAACCCACATCTCCCGTGTCTTCTGCAGGTGGATTCTTTACCCACTTTGCCACCTTGGAAGCCTCTGTAAGATTCTAGTGGGGAAGATAAAATATGGATTCAGATAACTATCATAAGAACCTACAAGAGAAACCACAAACTTCCATATGGTCAAATTTCAGTTCTCCACCATTGTCAAAGAAAAGAGACCGTCCCCAGGAGAAGAGGTTAGGGGCCTCGCTGCCCAGAAGCTGTGTGACCCCTGGATCGGTTGGAGGTGATCCTTCATTATTATTATACCGGGCTTCTTGGCCTCACAGTTACCCAAACTAACTGAGTGGCAGCCTCCTCAACTGTACAATGGTCAATTTTCTAGTGGAAAGAGAATACCGTCTTTACATAAAATGCTTTTAGCAGAAGACTATAGGTTCCATAACACTGAAGAAGACACACAGAAGGCAAATCAGCACAATGCAAACATGCTCAGCATCATTAACTATTAGGGAAATGCAAAATAAATCCACAATGAGATGGCACTACACAGCTATCAGAATGCCTAAAAATGACACCACCAAACACGTATGTGTGGAAACTGAATCACTCATACAGTGCTGGGGAGAACACGAAATGGTACAGCCACTCTGGAAAACAATTTGGCATTTTCTTTAAAAACAAAAGATACCATTGCTGCTGTTGTTTGCGAAATCGGTCCAACTCTTTGTGTCCTCGTAGACTGTAGACCACCAGGCTCCTCTGTCCTTGGGATTCTCCAGGGAAGAACAGTGGAGTGGGTTGCCTTGTCCTTCTCCAGAGGATCTTGCTCACCCAAGAATCAATCCCTCATCTCCTGTATTTGCAGACAGATTCTTTACCCCTGAGTCATCAGGGAAGACCTACAACTACCATACAGTCGGGCATTTACACTCCTAGGCCTTTAACCTAGAGAAATGGATACTTACATTGACACCAAAAAAAAGTGTACACAAATGTTTCCTGCAGCTTTATTTGTAACAGCCCAAAACTGAAGACAGCACAGGTGTTCCACAACATGGTTAAACAAACTGTGGATACATCATTCTCATGGACTGCTACTAAGAGTTACAAAGAAATGAACTATTAATGCCTGCAAAAGTCTAGATGAATCTCCAATTATGCTGAGCAGGGAGCAAAACTGGAGCAAATCCCAAAATGTTACATCCTGTATGATCCCATTGATATAACCTTCTTGAAATGGCAAGATAAAAGGAGAAAAATTAGTGGTTGCAGGGATTAAAGAGGTGGCAGAAGTGGAGGGGAGTCTGGGTGGCTATCATTGAGGTGATGGAAATGTGCTGTATCTTGACAGTTTCAATGTTAATATCCTAGTTATATTGTGCTATATTGTGCTATAGTTTAGAAAGATACTACCATCGCGGGAAACTGGGTAAAAGGTTATAGACTCTTGTGTTATTTCTTGTAACTGCACGTGAATCTGCAGTTATTTCAAAATAAAAATATTAATTAAAAAAAAATCGAAGCATCAGTTGCTCAATTGCGTCCTACTCTTTGTGACTACCTGGAGCCTGTAGTCCACCAGGCTCCTCTATTCATGGGATTCTCCAGGCAAGAATACTGGAGTGGGTTGCCATTCCCTTCTCCAAAAAAATCAAAAGACAGAGCTAAGTCAGGGGAACAAATATGTAAGCTTGTCAGCCATGACACGAGCCTCAGAATGGTGACATCATAATGGCCAGTAACCTGGACTACTGCTCCTGAGGCCTCATGGGTTTGTTCACAGTACTCTGCCAAGTGCTGTAGACATACTCAGCTTTCAGTGCCGAGAATTGGAGAAAAAACGATTTTCAGGGCAATCAAAAAGCACTTTGAGCTTTTTGGTTGTCATTCAAGGTTTCACCACATCAGGTAATCCTTTAATATACTATTTTTTATCATCAAAACAAATTGGTCACACAACGAATTTTATTTTGTTTCTTCTAAGATATATGAACTAATTTTTCACTTCAGCACAGGTTTCATGAAAAGCTACTGGTGTTTCTAAGATTCATACTGCAGAACATGAGTGAGCAGCTTTATATTCTCATGGTGGGGCAGGGTGTAGGGGGAAATTTTCTTGGCTTCAAGGCTAGAATTTTCTATAGATCTATGAAAATATCTGCTCTATTTATCAAAGAGTCTTTATGTTCAGTACAATTTAGTTCTTTTGATCAGGCAGTTCTGTTAGACCTTAGTCACAGCTCAATCAAGTAATAACTAGGCACTGCCTAGTATTTATAAACTTTTTTGATGTTTCCAGTATTATTTAGCTCATCTTAGAGAATTTCCCCAAAATTTGAATATTGATTTAGATATGATTGAAGTCAATTTTCCAGAATCCTCGGTTATCTAAAATTTTAGGCTAACATGGAACCAAATTGTAATTACTTCTTGGCAAATCTCCACATCTTTTCATCTATAATAGGCCACACATTATCCTATTTTGTGTGGTTTTTAACCATTGTCTGTTTTTGCCTTCCTGTAATCCTCTCTACCTTTGGCCTTCTCGTTCTCCTCTTCCTAACAGTCCCAAGACCAGCTCTGCTCCTTTCTCTATTTCCCTGCCTCTAAGAGTCCACAGACCCAAGGGCTTTGTCCTTGAAACTGTTGTCTGTCCACATCAACTCCCTGAGGGACCTCATTCTCTCGGTAGCTTCCATAGCTTGCTGATTCCTGGATCTGAGCTGTGAAGCCCTGTTTGGGAGACTGGGGCTTAGTTTTAGAGTTGTCAACCTTGACATTTAACATAAACCCCATCGTATATCTGACCAGTGACTAGCTGTTCTGTGGTGTTTGATGTTTTTCAGGAGAAGCCCTTCTGTTGAGGTGGACACCAACAGCGAGAATACTTCATCATCCGAGGGAGCCAATGGTACCCTGCTGATCCACAGCCCCGTAGAACTCAAAAGAGGCTAGAGAAGCAGAAGCGGTACCTCTCCTTATTTAGTGATTTGTTGCTTATATCTAATACCAAGTGCGTATATATTACATGCTTTCCTAATCACCATAAAATGGCACCTTTGCTAACCTTTAAGAAAGTATGACACACAGGGCCTCTCTTGGCTGTGGCTTGTAGACAGATGATAAAAAATAAGAAATAAGAGGGGGAAGGAGAGATTGTGACTAACGCCTGTGATACAAGGCAGATATCATGAGTATCATGAAAGGAATCATGAAGAAGGCAGGACCATATTAGAAAGGGGTTGTCCGGCAGGACCTCTCAAGAAGGCAGCCTCTAAACTAGACCTGTGCATGGAGAAGCAGCCTCCATCCCAGCCAAGGCGGCTGAGCCTTCGAGGCTGAGGAAGCAGCAGGCTTGCCTGGGTGCAGCTGGGCCCCGTGGATGAGGGTAGCTCTGGGAGGGCCAATGTGACTGGAGCCTAAAGTGAGGGGCATGACATTAGATATAACACTGTAGTCAGGGGTCCAGGCACACAGGGTCTCCTCAGGCCACAGTAAGGGGTTAAAATGTATGCTGAAAAGTGTTTAACTAGGACAGTAACCATATCTGCATATACTTTTTAGCAAAGCTTTCTGGCTATTGGCAGACGACAGATGGTGGAGTAAGCAAGAGTGGAAGCGGGGAGACTAGTAGGGAGGCAGCAGTCCTGTGAAAGGTCAAGGACTCCACCCTGGGGCTGGCGGTAAAAACCAAAGCTTCAGCCACACAGGTGCAGAACATATGTTGGAGACAGAACCAGCGGGGTGCACTTTCCGCTCAACCCTCAACACAGATGTGACTAAGACCACAGACTTGGTGGCTTCACAAAAGAAATGTGTTTTCTTATAGTTCTGGAGGCTGGAAATGCAAGATCAGGCACCAGTATGGTGAGGCTCCAGGGAGAGCTCTCCTACTGCCTGGCAGAGGGCTGTCTTCTCATTATGTGCTCACAAGGCATCTCCTTGGTGCCAATAAGCCCACCAATCCTACTGGATTTGAGTCTTACCCTTTATGACCTCATTAGCCTTCATGACATCCCCAAAGCTCTATCTCCAAATAGAGCCATATTTGCACTGAGGGCTTCACTGGGTTAAGGACTTTAGCAGGTGGGCGGGGGGGGGGGGGGCACCATTCCCCCACTGCAGTAACTACAGTACTGAGTACCTGTACAGGACTTCACCACAATTTTTAGAAAAAGACCTAGAAGATCATTCCCACAGTAACATTTAGGTATACTCATGATCGTTATTAAAATCCAAAAATAAAATTTTTTATTCCCCAGAAAGAAACAACTAAAAGGAAATCACCTCCTGTGATAACAAACATATTTCTTCCCTGTCATGCCTCATTCTTAGATGGAATATTGTATCCTGCCTTGAATCAATCTGTTCAAATTAGTAACCTGAGTTTAGCACCGAGTTTTGCCACTTAGCCATAAGAAGAGGTGCGAGCACTGAGGTTCCCTGTGACCTCCGCTCACCTTCAGACTTCCGCTGAAAACTCACTCACCCTGAGGCTGGTGCGGTAGAAACTAGCACAAGTGGAATAAGTAATCTACTGACTTCTCCCTATGTATTGGATCAGAATAAGTACATTTTAGTTTCTATGGCAACCCACTCCAGTGTTATTGCCTGGAGAATCCCATGGACAGAGGAGCCTGGCAGGCTACAGTCCATGGGGTCGCAAGAGTCGGACACGACTGAGCGACTAAAGAGACAGAGAAGGGGGGGTAATAACAAGGGGGGTTTAAACATTTACTTCTTCACAAAGAAATTATATTTCTCCAGTTGTGGGATGTTAATATTCAGTGAAAATTATTTTGAGATTTTTTTGGTCATTTTCTCCCACACTACAAACATTAGAACTTCTATTCTCAAGAATTAATCTCATGAATTCTTCAACATCATTTTGATATTCATTAGAATGCTAATAAGCTACCTTTCAAATAAAATTATACTTTTACTTTTTATAACAGGATCTACTTTATAAATATTGAGGTATTGATACTAGTAGAGGCCTATGAAGAATTAACAAATAGGGAGGGACTAGACATAGCCAACACCATTTTTAGACATCACTATCCTCACATTCAGTTGTTACAGAATACAGAAACAATAAAAAATGAATGTTATTTAGATCAAAAGATGATTACTATTAACTTATCAGTGAAAAAGCAGATACTTACACAATATACCACAATCTCTATTTCCAAGCATCTAAGGGAACAGTCTTGTGTTAGGATAGAAGTCTGCCTAGAATCCCATAAACTCCACAAACCATTCAGGCTTACCCTCCAGTATAAAGGCTGAGATAGAGGAAAGGAAGAAGGGCAACGGTGAACAGAGTTTTGTCAAGAGAATGCACTGGTCATAGCAAACACCCTCTTCCAGCAAAACAAGAAGAGACTCTACACATGGACATCGCCAAATGGTCAATACTCAGCTTCATGCCTGAATTTTGCAGTCAGGAGCTCATGATCTGAGCCACAGTCTGCTCCATGTCTTGTTTCTGCTAACTGTACAGAACTTCTCCATCTTGAGCTGTAAAGAACATAACCAGTCTGATTTCAGTAGAGCACCTAAAGAACTCTGGACGTAAGTTCGTAAGACTGTATATGAGGCTCTGACGAAAACTATTCTGGAGAAAAACACATGCAGTAAGGCAAGGGGGCTGTCTGAGGAGGCTTTACAAATAGCTGAGAAAAGGAGAGAAGTGAAAGGCAAGGGAGAAAGGGAAAGACATACCCATCTGAATGCAGAGTTCCAGAGAACAGCAAGGAGAGATAACAAGGCTTTCTTCAAGGCACCATGTAAAGCGGCAGAGGAAAACAATAAAACGGGGAAGACTAACAAATCTCTTCAAGAAAATTGGAGATATCAAGGGAACATTTCATGCAAAGATGGGCACAATAAAGGACAGAAATGTTATGGACCTAACAGGAGCTGAAGATATTAAGAAGAGTTGGCAAGAATACACAGAAGAACTATATAAAAAAAGGTTTTAAAGACCCAGATAACCACGATGTTGTGGTCACTCACCTAGACCCAGACTTTCTGGAGCATGAAGCTGAGTGGGCCTTAGGAAGCATTACTACAAACAAAGCTAGTGGTGGTGATGGGATTCCAGCTGAGCTATCTAAAAATCTGAAAACAGAATGCTGTTAAAGTGCTGTGTTCATCATGCCAGCAAATCTGGAAAACTCAGCAGTGGCCACGGGACTGGCAAAGGTCAGTTTTCATTCCAATTCCAAAGAAGGGCAATGTCAAAGAATATTCAAGCTACCATACAATTGCTCTCATTTCACATGTTAGTAAGGTTAGACTCACAATTCTTAAAGCTAGGCTTCATCAGTATGTGAACCTAGAATTTCCAAATAAACAATCTCAGTTTAGAAAAGGCAGAAGAACCAGAGATCAAATTTCCAACATTTGTTGGCTCATAAAGCAAGGGAATTCCAGAAAGACATCTACTTCTGCTTCATTGACTATGCTAATGTAGTCAATGAAGACTGTGTGGATCACAAAAAACTATGGAGAGTTCTTCAAGACATGGGAATACCAGACCACCTTACCTACCTCCTGAGAAACCTGTACGCAAGTCAAGAAGAAACAGTTAGAACCAGATATGGAATGACAGATTCAAAATTGGGTAAAGGAGTATGACAAAGCTGTATATTGTCACCCTGCTTATTTAACTTATATGCAGAGCACATCATGCAAAATGCCAGACTAGATGAATCATAAGCTGAAATCAAGATTGCCGGGAGAAACAGCAACAACCTCTTGATATGCAGATGATGCCACTCTAATGGCAGAAAGCAAAGAGGAACTAAAGAGCCTCATGATGAGAGTGAAAGAAGAGAATGAAAAAGTTAGCTTAAAACTCAACATTCAAAGAACTAGTATCATGGCATCTGGTCCCATCCCTTCATGGCAAACAGATGGGGGAAAAGTGGAAGTAGTGAGAGATGTGGGCTCCCAAATCACTGCAGACAGTGACTGCAGCCATGAAATTAAAAGATGCTTGCTCTTTGGAAGAAAAGATATGACAAACCTAGACAGCATATTACAAAGCAGAGACATTACTCTGCCAACAAAGGTCCATACAGTCAAAGCTTATGGTTTTTCCAGTAGTCATGTATGGATGTGAGAGTTGGACCATAAAGAAGGTGGAGCACCAGAGAACTGATGCTTTTGAATTGTGGTGCTGAAGAAGACTCTTGAGCAAAGAGATCAAACAAGTCAATCCAAAAGGAAATCATCCTGGAATATTCATTGGAAGGACTGATGCTGAAGCTGAAGCTCCAATTCTTTGGCCACCTGATGTGAAGAGTAAACTCACTGGAAATGACCCTGATGCAGAGAACGATTGAGGGCAGGAGGAGAAGTGAGCAGCAGAGTTAGAGATGGTTATATAGCCTCATTGTCTGAATGGACCTGAATCTGAGCAAACTCCCGGAGATAGTGAAGGTCAGGGGAGCCCGGCGTTCTGCAGTCCATGGGGTTGCAAACAGTCTGACATGACTTAGCAACTGAAAAACAACAACAAAGAGGAAAGGAGAGGGGTGTGGGAGTCCGTAGTAAGGGACACACAGTAGAAATTTAAAATGTAGTCCTCTTCCTTCTCATCCTTTGGTCAGTTTACATTAGATTTGTTCTAACTTACGAGAAAATCTCATTAAGTCGTGACTAAGTGTGAAGAAATACAATGAGACCCTAGGAAAATCCACTGGACTATACAGTTTTGTTGTTTTAAACATTTCCAAGCTGGCATCTAGCTTTGTTGGTATAATGTCATGAAATTTATCATGTCAGTCTGCAAATTAAACAATTCCGTCAGAAAGCCTGGTGGTTCCTGGAGAAGTGTTGAGGCTGAAGATAGGAAAGAGGAGAAGGGCACCTCAGGGAAGTTGAGGTCAACACGCATGGAGGCCAAGTGGGTAGGAGCACAGGCTCATGATTTAGCTTCGTGAGTTAGGTTGTCTGAGTTCAAACCCTGCTTCTGTTGCTTTGGGCAATTTACTGAACCTCTATGTGAGTTTCCTCACCTATAAAAAGGAGCTACTAAAGACTACCTGGTGTAGTTGACAATTAAATGAAAAAAAATGTTCATAAAATACTTAGAACAGTGTTCACTATATGTTAAGTATTCAGTGTTACTGGAGAATAGAAACCATGCTCTGGGCCTTTGGATAACTCCTTGGTTTGGTTTAAAGGGAGTGAATAATCCTGGCACTTCATTTCACTAAGAAGAGAATTATTGAAATGCCTTTTCCCAGGTCAGTGGATTTGGAAGTTTCCACACAGTACCTTGGGTGTCAATATACTAGACATTTACATCAGAAAAAATAAAATCCAGCAGATAGGCATCTATCTTTCCCATTAAGTGAAAGTCATGTCCAACTCTTTGTGACCCCATGGAGTATACATTCCATGGAATTCTTCAGGCCAGAATAATGGAGGGTAGCTTTTCCCTTCTCCAGGCGATCTTCCCAACCCAGGAATCAAACGGGAGTGTCCTGTATTGCAGGCAGATTCTTTACCACCTGTCAGGAAAGCCCTCTTTCCCACTGGGCATAAACTTTTAATTTGAAAATGCTTTTAGAGTTACTATATAGAAAAATAATTTTATCTGATAATTATGTTTCATTAAATCCTCAAATACACAGGCATAGGGTAAAAATGTTGAAACTGAATGTAGAAAAAACCCAACTTGTATCACAAAGCAGGTCTCCATCACATTTATATTCATAGTGCCCACTGAATCAAGGTTATCCTTCAAGCAGGCTTCTTACAAAATTATTTTCATTTCATAAATCCCACTGAAGAGTTAGAGCTTTAACTGTTCCCTGAACCAGAGGAATCAAAGGCATTTCTGCACATGAAGTATTTCAGATCTCATTCTACATTTAGTGTGTCTACATGTGGTTCTGAATTGTAGAAAGCTCCAGAACTGTGTGCCCAAGTTACCTAGGTGTCTTTCATAGGGGTTGTAGCTATCTAAATCTCAGGCCCGCCAAGAGTTAAACTTGGGAATTAACCAAGAGATATGGTGGTTTCCATGCTAGAAGTCAACAGAGAATCAGCAGAAACTGTCAGAGAGCAATTTCACTGGTGACCTTCTGACTCCCCAGAGGTAAATGGGAAAGATGTCTGTCATCTACACACAAGACATCCTGGCCACTGGTCTGAGGTTGACTGACTGACTGAGTTTTAAGTTGGGGTTCAGTTTGTATGCTAACAATTTTTCAGTTTTTAGCTATAAGGGGAAATGTTATGAACAAAATTTTAGGAAAGAAAATTTAAAATAACCTATGCTAGATAATAAAAAAATCTTTTTTAAAAAATTAAAGTTGAAAATGTATTTTAAATCTCTCTAATCTAGCTTTTTTTTTTTTTTTTTGTCTCTGTTAAGGAAAAAGTTCTGTAACTTTTTATAAACCATATATCATGCATGTGTTTTGGTTCAGCCTCTCAATACCTTTTGACATATGCAAGGCATGAATGAATAATTATAATAACTACAAAAATATTTATATATTTTGTACATTTATATTATAATTATAAAATGCTAAATATTTACATTTATATAAGATTTATTTTTTAATATATATAATAATAAATATGAGACTGATAAGTAAGTTAAGGGTTCTCTAAAAAAGCTCTAAACTAAAAAGGATGGTCTATACTTATTACTTAATAGTCAGAAAATGTCTATTCCCACGATTAAGGAAGTATTTTCAGGGACTTTCTGGACCAGCCTCCACTCAACATGCATTTTTGAAAAGGTCTATCAAGTGCCTAGCCATGCTGTCCACAGAGAGAAATAGAGATGAAGGAGGCATGCTTGGCCCTCCAGTAGTAAGAAGCACCATCTTAGCATGAACACAGCTGCTCTCATTACGTTTAAGAAACAAACTAACAGAGGCGTTATTTGGTTCTTTCCAGGTATAAAAAGAACTTAAAGATAAAAGATAAAATATCCTGAGCACAATGTGGACTGCCAACTGTACAGACAAGGCTGGTGAAGCCAGCATCAGTGCCAGGAGGCGCTTTGTCCTGGGCTGGCCCATGGTGAACTTTGCGGCCACCTTCAGGTGAGACCGCTTGGTGTCCTGTATCTACGTGGGTTAAAAAGAACATTTTAATCTGATTGTATATTGAGCCAGTGACTCACATCTTGACTGACCATAATGACACATATGGGCGTCCCTGGTAAAGAATCTGCCTGCAATGTAGGAGACTTGCAGGAGACGCCGGTTCAATCCCTGGGTCAGGAAGATCCCCTGGAGGTGGAAATGGCAACCCACACCAGTATTCTGCCTAGGAAATCCCGCGGACAGAGAAGCCTGGCGGGCTACAGTCCATGCGGTTGCAAAAAGTCAGACACGACTGAGTGACTTAAACAACAACACATGACACATATGCCTTGTACTTCTCCCCCAGAAAAGGTTTCTATGTGCAAATGCACGTATACGGATAGTAAACAGTGGAAACGACTGGAGTAATTTCCTTTGGTTTTGATCAGTGGTTTTTCAGATGGGCTATCTGAGCTACTTGGGAAGCCAGATCCTCATGTGTTCATGGTATCCTTGTATGAGGAAGGAGGATCATGAGAGCAAGACTCTAGGACCCCTCACCAATATCCTGCCCTCAATCCTGATTATCTTTCTTGAAAAAGTACAATTACATTTGAAAAACTGACTTTATACTCCCAAATTAATTCCCTTTAAAATGGGACTTAATTATACACGTAACATTGATTGTGTCACAAAATACTAGGCTGCCTGAATTGCTATGTACATATAATCTTATTTGGTGTGCGTAGAAGGGTGACAATAAAAACAAAGGTATGATTCCATGGAATACATATAGGTCAGTTTTCCAATAACATTCTTAGACTGGAGTGGGGATGGAAAATGTGGATATCCCAAGTTGACAGTCCCCGGTTCGCAAGTGTCATGAAACATTTACAACTGCCATTTGGAACAACCATACCCCAAATCTCAGTCTTTTAAGCACACTGGGCATTCATCACACGCACTTGACACACTTTCTTGTCCTCCTCACCCCACTCCACCAAAATCTCTCCTATCATCACAGAGATAAGACAACTAAAATGTTGCCAAGTGGTAAATTTACTAAATTCTAGAATGCAGCTGTTGACGTAATGAAAACTTTGAAAGCTTTTGGGGAAGAAATATGTATTTGTATCATTCTCTACATGTCTCCTTCCCATGACTTATTTCTCTAAAGATCCAGTTCCTATTGCTTAAACATCTTTTCCATTTTGTAAGTGAAAGGAAGCAGTTTCATTTGGGAATGTGCAGTTTCTGATAAGGGAGTGTCCCAGAAACTTTTTTCCTAGTGAGTCTAGAAAGGCGGCAGTCAGGTTTACACATGTTATTTAGGTTTAAAAGCTGTGTAAGAACATACATGGCATTCATAACAATGCCTGGCACCTAGTGCTTTTGCCATTTGCTATTTTACCCTTCTGCAGATTGCCATGAGTAATTAGAAGCTGTGTTTGTGTACATATGCAGGTTGGGGAGCTAAGAGTGCATTCTACTTCCTGGTGAAAACAGTTCTTGAAATGGGGATGGGGGGTAGGAGCAGTGTTTTGGTAGGAATATAAAATATGGCAGCCATAGGAGAACATACATATTCCGGGCATATATCCAAGAGAAATGAAAACTTACATCCACACAAAAAATTTAAACACAAATGCTTATAGCTGCTTTATCTATCATAGCCAAAAAAAAAAAAAGTGGAAATAGCCTAAGTGTCTATCAACTAGTGAATGTATAAACCAAATCTGGTATGGGGCTGAGAATGGAGGGGACTGGGGTGTGACTCCTTAATGCACACAGGGTTTGCCGTTGGGTAATGAAAATATTCCAGAACTAGGTAGTGGTGATGGTTGCACAATACTGTTAATGTACAGATGATCACTAACGGTCAGTTTTATGTTATGCATAATTTACCACAATAAATAAAAGTTAGTGATAAGTCTGTGTATGAATGAGCCTAAAACATTTTCAGCTCTGGACATTAAATGCTACACAAACTTTAGCAGAGAAAATGCTTATCTTTAATAATTTAACAGTAGATTGATCTTCATCAGAGGATCATAGTAATGAATACATTTTCTAGGAACTAATTTCATATATTACAATTTATTATATGGTACACACATAAAGGAATAAAATATTGTAGGGTTTTTTCCTAAAAGGATACTCCTGTTTCTGAGATAAGACAGTTCCATCCAAATGCCAATTCCTAAGTAAGATTTAATCTGAATAATAATGTTCTTTATAGCTAAATAGCACTTCCACCTACAAGAACACTCAGGTATAGTTAATCCTTTTCCTGTTCTGGAAACTGAGGTTCGGAGTGGTTTAGTGACTTGCCCATGATTACACAGCTTGCATCACACATGCAGTTAAGTGTTTAGATTTCAAACCATCTTCTAGTCAAGTTTAACATCTACTTCTCATCACTGTAATATGGTTTAAAAAAGAGAGACTCCATATCAAGAGCCTAATTATGAAGAAGGTACAACTTACACATGCATACACATTAGTTAACAACTGGCTAGTGCTATTTTTTTTAATCTGGAGTAGCACTTAATATGTTAGTACCAGTCTTAATATATTAGTATTTTATGTAATTTTATAATTTTAAAATATATTAAATATTTAATACAGATATTAAAAATATTTGTAATTTAAAAATATATTTTATGTAATTTTTCTTCCATTTTTTTAATATCGTAGTTCCTCTGAACGAAAGGAAAAATGGCAGTCCTTTCTTCAAAGGTATTTTGACAGCAGTATACATATTTCAAATGTTTAACCCATGATAGAAGAATGCAAATCTCTTCAAGGCAGTGCCCCCAAACTTTGTCCTTCTCCTTTGTAGGAACCGTTAGACTGCCCTCAAATAACTTCTTGTTCAGATTTATCCTGATTGCTACTGCAAAGAATGTTCTCTCATATACATGTATGCTCTGCTTGGTTTTAAGGAGTTCTCTGTCACTGTCATCTTTCCCTTCTCTCCATCCTAATGGTTGGAACTAACATTATTCTCAAAACATATGCTAAATTTCCATAAGTGTAGATTACTTATTCTAATGAAAGAGTCTCAAAGCACATGCTACTTCCTGTCCTTGAACCCAGGAAGGCCCCGGGCCCTCCAATCTAGACAGGAAAACTTTGAGGATTGATTGGATCTGCTGCCCAAATCTCACATGACAAAGGCGACCTGTTACTTTCTGGGTCATATCTTATTTTCCTGAAAATATTTTTGCATATCTTCTTCCAATCACTAATTTGATTTTACTCAGTTTATCTCTCCACACTTTTAAGAATAATGACAAGGGCTTCCCTGACGGCTCAGTGGTAAAGAATCTGCTTGCCAATGCAGGAGACACAGGTTTGATCCCTGATACAGGAGGATGCCCCATGCCATGGAGCAGCTAAGCCTGTGCACCACAATTTACTGGGCCTATGCTCCAGAGCCCAGGAACCGAACCGCAGCTGCTGAAGCCCGCGTGCCCACAACAACAGCAGCCACTGCAAGGAGACGCTCGTGAACTGCAGCTAGAGCATGGCCCCCACTGGCCACAGCTGGAGAGGGGCCTCCACAGCAACAAAGACCCAGCCCAGCCAAAAATTTAAACATCAAAATAAAGCAAAATAAAAAATAGACATTAAAAAAAGAATAATAACAAATAAGGGACTTCTCTGGGGGTCCAGTGCAGGCGCCTGGGTTCAATACCTGGTCAGGGAACTAGACAGATCCCACACGCCACAACTAGGAGTCTGCATGCCACAGGTAAAGATCCTGTGTGCCACAACTGAGACCCAGTGCAGCCCATTTAAATAAAATTTTTTAAGAAAATAACAGTATTTAAAATATTAGCAACATGGATTGATTTGAAAATAAGCTAATAGCTAAAGCTAATTCGTCTACCCTATTCTGGGTTATTATTGAATTTTATTAGGTACGTCAATCTAGACGAAGAGAAGGATCAGCCAAAAAGCATTCCCCTCAAAATCTTCACTGAGGACATCAAAAACGGTGCCTGTGTAAGTATTTTTAAGATCAAAAATTAATTTCCAAGTTCGCAACTTAGCAAAATGAAACTGATAGAAATATACAGAAGAGATAGAGAGAGAGATGGGGTGGGTAGGAGGGAGAACAAAAGAGAGGAGAAAGAGAGAGGGGAAGTAATTTAGAAAGGACTATAACATATTTTCCCGTAAAAAGATGAGTGTTTTTGCATATATAAAAAGTGAATCCTACACAATATGATGCAGAGGGATCCACAGTAGTTACAGTGCTTAAGCACAGGAAAAAAAAATATTGCCTGTCAAGTGTACATAATATTTCTCTGGATCTTTTAATAACAATTATAGTGGATCACTGTAACATAATGATTTTCACAAGCAGTTATTTCCTATTGGAAATAAACTTTTTTATTTTTTAATGGCTGCTACTTGCATACATTGCGGTTTGGAATGCTTCCACTGTTTTTTTTTCCCCTGTGATGTTTTTATTTGGAATAATTGTAAACTTACAGAAAAGTTACAAAAATAGTACAAAGAACACACCATATACCATTTACCTAGATTCACCTGTTTATGAACATTTTGTTCCATTTGTTTGATCATTTGTCTCCTCTCTTTCTCTCTCTCTATATATATTTGTGTGTGTGTGTGTGTGTGTGTGTAGCTATTTTTGAGGGTCATACGTACACCATGCCCTTTCTCCTTAAATAATTAGGTATGTCCTAAGAATAAGGATGTTCTCTCATATATAACCATCACACAGCTATGACCTTTAGTAAATTACCATACGTGTAATACTTTAATCAACCATTTACTTTTCCGTTTTGTCAGCTGATCTCAATAATGCCCCTTTCCAGCACAGGATTAAGAGGAACGTAATGCTAAATGCAGAAGACTTTTGAAAGGTCTTTCATTCTGAGGAATGTCTGGATAGAACTGAGCCAAAAGGGATGAAACTTAGAAAGGATCAGCATATCTCTACCTTATTTTGCTTATGCAACCTGGTGGGGGAGGGGGGATCATACCATTAGCCCCAGTTATTTGCATGTAATTTGATTTCTGAAAGTGTAGTGCAGTAGCCTAGACATTTGTGATGAAAAGATATCCTGGATTTTTTTTTACGATACTTTGTTCTACTGTAGTTTACAGTAACTCTAGATGACATAAAACAGTATTTGAAGGTAGAAAAAGGAAGTCATTTAAGACAGTTATTTCCTGGCCAAGAGCAAAGCCAGGCAAAATCCCCATCTGTTCCTGAGCACCAGATAAATGCAATGCTGGCAAGAGATTCAACTAGAGGGTTCTCCGGCTGCAAAGCACACTTTCGTCTCCGCCTACATTAATTTGTGACAATGGGTTACATTCAGAAGTTTTCACCTAGAAATTTTTAAAAATCAACTTTATTTACGTATAACTTACACAAAATGAATATTTCTAATGTTCTTCATTCCTGAAGATTCAAGTTTCCTTCTAGTACGTCAGTTCACCCTGGAGAACTTTCCTTAACTTTTCTTGTATATATCTGGTACCAACAGATTTTCTTAGTTCCTTTCACCTGAAATGTCCTTATTTCACCTTCACTCCTGAAGGGTATTTTTGCTGGATATAGAATTTTGTTTGCAAATGTTTTCCTTTCAACACTCTAAAGATGCTTCACTTTCAGTCTCTATGTTTTCTGATGAGTACTCTGTGCTCACTCAAACATCAGCCCTCTGTATGTGACTTGTCATTTTTCTTCACCTGCTCTCAAGATCTTCTCTTTATTTTTGGTTTTTAGCTGTGTGGCTATGAAGTGTCAAAGCATGGTTTTCTTTTAACCTACCTGTTTGGTATTGTGTGAACTTCCTGAATTTATACATTTATGTCTTTCACCAAGTTTGAGAAATTTTAGTCATTATTATCTTATATTAATTTTCTATAACTTGTCTTCCTATTTTTATGGAGAATTTCTTAATGTGTTGTGTGGCCAAGAGCTATTATAAACACCCTGTTCATTGACAGAGTTTAGAAAGGAACTTAAATTTTAAAAATTTTCAATCTCATTTCCTAGATTCATTGGTTTTATTGAATTGATTCATTAGATTTCAATCATGAAAATCTTAGTAATCATGACACCTGACAGAAATCATTGAATAGTAGTTTATTTAATTGATTCATTAGATTTCAATCATGAAAATCTTAGTAATCATGATACCTGACAGAAAGAAATCACTGAATAGTAGTTTTGTTTTTAAAAACATCTTTAATAACCAGTTCTCATTCTAATTTTGCTAAAACTGACTATGTAACGGCAAAGAAATAAATTCATATTATAAAACCACAACTCAGGAACACTGAGATGGTACTTTTTTTTTAAACTATTTTTCCTCCATTATGGAAACAGCCTTAAGGTGCTGAGGGTCAGCCTATGTGCCCTTGTGGAATTCTCAGTCTATTTCTTGCTTAAGCTCTCATATTTTGTGTGCCTCAAATCCTTTAACAGAAATATGTTTTACTGGAATGCTTTCTACTAGCTTCATGTTATATAAAGGAATGGAAATAGATTATAATTAGGGGCTTATATTCTATATACAAGCATTTTACGTTGTCTTTACCTGAATTATAAGCTTTGCCTTTAGAATATAGATAATACTTTAACAATAATTATTTACTCACTTGTTTAAAAATGTTTAATTTACAGCAGCTTTTCTCCCTTCTTTGTTGCAGTCTGTTACTGTAACAGTGACAAACTCAGACACAGTGAATGATGTTATCAACATGTCACTTTCAAAGCTAGGAATAACTGTAAGTTACCAGCAAGTTATCTTTAGTTAAAAAACCAAGTTTGATTTTTGAGATTTGTATGTGTATGTGTGTGTCTGTGTGTGTGTATAATGTATCTACCATAAGACAGCTGATTATTTCAGATAAGTAAGTCACATTTTGTCTCATTAAATGTAGAAATTGAAGGCAGCCAAACTGTATTAATAACCTATGTGTGTGCTGGTCACTTAGTCGTGTCCGACTCTTTGAGAGCCCATGGACTGCAGCCTACCAGGCTCCTCTGTCTATTGAATTCTCCAGGCAAGAATACTGGAGTGGGCTGCCATTCCCTTCTTTGAGGATCTTCCCAACCCAGGGATCAAACCTGGGTCTACCACATTGTAGGTGGATTCTTTACTTTCTGAGCCACCAAGGAAGCCCCTTAATAATCTATACAGATGTGTTATTTGTGTATTCCCATTTTCAATTTTGTGTGAAGTCATAGCATAATGAAATCGGGCTATAATTTTACAGTTTTAATGAAAACATGCATTTTTATTATACATATTATATGCATAGACAAGAAAATATTTATGATTCTAAATATTTCTTCCTCTGTTGGATTATTCTTTTTGTATCCTCTTTCCTGATTCCTCCTGTCCCATCTCCATTTACCCCAGTTGCACCTGAGGACTCAGTCTCAGTATGAGAAAATCCTAAATGGTATGTTTTGTTGTAAATTTGATATAAAGACCACCTGCCAAGAAGCTACATCCCCTTGATGCAGGTCCCAGAATGCAATCGCTAAAGCCTCTTGTGAACTGATGAAGAAGACAAGTTCTGAATAAGACCACGGGTCTGGGGGCGTTGATGGACACATCTCTTTCATCTCATTGTGTTTTCAAGTGTCTGCTCCTTTATGTTTGGATAGGACTGTTATGGCTTGTTAAAACTTTTTTAGTGGAAGAGATGGCTATGTTTGAGGATGAGGGTTCAGAAGCGAAAAGAGGAGTGGAACATTCAGATGAACAGAACTGAAGAAAGCACTTGTAGAGCATAGATCCTTATATAAAATTATATATATATATCTCAATCTACATATCAGTGTGTAAAATGTACCATAAATTATGAATACATATTTACACATAAATGTGAAAATGTCTTGCTATTGTCATATGACATAATTACAGTATTTGTATTTATGTTTCTCAATGCTATAATAAAGCCCCTTAAAACCTCAAGGCATCCAGAATTTGGTATAAGACATCAAGATTTCTGTAAAAATATAATTTAGTAATACATTTTAAATAAAACTGAATTCATATGCATTAAGTACATCACCCCTCTGCACTGACTTCTAATCTATATGATATATATGCCCTGAATGAGAATTAAATCTTAAAAGAAAGTGGCTTTAGGGATAAGGCTGGGGAGACTGATTAAATGTTAGAACTCATTTTATTTCATTTTTATAACTTTCCTTTGCTTAATCAAAGGGAATCAAAGTGATCCATCTCACTAGAAAAAGAATTTCTATTTCAGTGAATAACTAGGGTTATTTGCCTATATACATATGCCTGACTTAAGGGATTCCATCATAGTTTTTCCAATTTTTACCTTAAAAGAAAAGATTTTTATCTGCTCTCTTATTTCTTATTTGCAATACAATTTTGAGCCTATTTAGTTATGTGTGTGTGTTTGTGTGTGTGATTGCTTCTATACCTGGGACTTTGCTTCCCTCATGGCAAGGCTGTGATTTTTAACCAGGAGTCAAAGGTAAGCATAGTACCTATTACCTATCACCAACAACTCTATTTCAAACATTTTTTGCTTTATCCTCTCCCGGAGGGCTCTTCAATTTAGCAGTCTTTATAATTTAAACTTGTTTCAAATGGGATATTCAGTATTCTTAGGCAGTGATTCTGCTGGAAGAAACTGTTTGCTACATCTGACTCATTCTTCAGGTTAGAGTCCTTGTCCCTTCTCTGCCTTGAGTGGTGCTTGCCTACATCACAGCCAGTAGGCTGCCATCTACTCAAGGCCTCTTGGGCATCTGTCTCATTTTGTTAATGGTTGCTGAGCTAATGCCTCCTTTCAAGTTTTACTTTGTTCAGGAATAGTCATGGCAGAGTTACGTGACTTTCTGGACAACATGTTTGACTGGGCAGGGGAATTTTAAGGCAAAAGCCAGCATTCTCCAAGGAGTCTCAAAACAGCAGAAAGCAGGATTCTTGAGATTAGACTTCTCTTCCATGGTGAAGAGAAGTTTTATAAATTATTTTTATTTATAATTTATACATTTTATTTATATATTTATAATTTTATTTAAAATTACCATGAATTTTTATACTATGAACCACCCACAAAGTGAGAGGCTGGCTGACTGTACTGTGATTCCACAGATCCTCACCCTTTATCAAAAAGGACAAGAATCTCAGATGGTCCACTGGAGGCTCTGAGAGAGGGACAGGGTTTACTGGAATCACCATTGTTAACTCAAAACTTTTCGTCACTCCCACGGACCAAATAGCATTTATACTGGCACTAATTCTTTTGAAAGTATAGAAATGCTAAGGAAATGAGTTCTTCAAGTACATACTAGGAAGATTTGCTGTGACACATAGTTCTTTTTGTTTCCAAGGGCTCTGAGAAAGATTATCAGTTGTGGATCAGTTCTGGCAAGAAAAAGGCCTCATATCCACTTTCTGGTAAGTGTCAGGAAAAACCTAAGATGGAGTTGGTTGGATTCCAAATTGTAACTTTAAGGTCTCAAAGTAATGGTTGATCAGCTTAAATGCTTAAATGCCCTTAAACTGAAAATCTCTTGCAATGTTCACTTATACACATGGTAAATAATTCTAAGCACCTGCTCTATCCCAAACACAGATAGCATGTCTTCATGCAGCAGCTTATGGTCTGCTGAATTTTGACAGCAGCGTGAATTTTTCTTCTTTACTTTTTCCACTTGACAAACAGAGTTGTCTTGAAAACAATTACTCTTTATTTACTCACGTAGATATGAAAGTAACACAAGCGGGAATTTCTTTTGCTCATACATTATTGTTCATATTCCAGCCCTGATGTTCTCAGTTCCATTTTCTAACCACTAAGTAGTCTCTATTTTGTGATAATCTTCTAAAATCCAGCCATGCCTCTGACTTCAAGTACATTTATTTAATACCTACTCTGTGCCCAAAGCTGTTCTCATAAAGAAAAGCATCATAAAGAAAATGAAATAATCACACTCAGACTCGTAGATTCTTCACTAACTAAACCATCTGCATATAACTTTGCTGTTTCTCAAGCTGAGTTCACTAGCACTGCTCTTGAAATTTTTGATAAATAGACTACATCTTTCCTAAAATAGCTATCATAGCAAGGTAACTAGAAATAATAATGCACATTCTTGGATGAGCAAATCTGTCAGGGTGGTCAGTGAAAAAAGGAGGGCTTAAAACAAGGGAAAAGACAAAATCTGTAGTAGAACTTGCAATATAGTAATGGTGACAATGACTTCTGATAGAAATCTTAGAGCACCTCCTCTTACATAATCTTTTTTTTAACTTTTCTCATCTGTTCAACAATCCTGTGAGTCTATTACTCTTTCAAGTGATCTGAGGAACATTTTCAAGTGGTCTGGAGAATCTAAACAACTAAGTTTTTTTCTTTGATATGTATATTCCCAGTCTTAGACTACATGGAGTCACCAAGTGTAGAGCTGAAGACAAAATCACCTCACCCATTTCACGTGTTTTTCTTGCCTTGTTGACATCCTTGTAAAAGTCAGTCAGCAGTAAAGTGAAAAACATTGAATAAACATATTTAGTTTAATAAAATGCATTAATTTAAATAAAACAATGTAGATGACAACTTTTAAGTTTTGAACAGCTTCAAACACCATGGCTGGCTCTAAGGATTCCTGAGAGGCTGCCTTTCATGATGCTGCCTCAGCAGTCATTCTAAATGCATTTGTTAACATGTTCTCAGCTCACAATTATGGATTAGCTCCTGGTTATCCTGGTGACTTGGTTGTATTTTATTACTCTCACAGAAGCTTCTTCTGCCTTAAAGGATGGAAGTTGCTCTGATTCTTGTTCTGAATAGAGCACTGACATTGTTTTTATGCCAGATGTAAAGCAAAAGCAAGAACTCCAGCTGCATTTAACAAATCAGAAACAAAAGAAAAGGAGCCTTCATGCAATTCTTTAAAGATGGAATCCACAGGGCGGCACAGGGCCTTAGAGAAGTCTATGGAGAGGAAGCAATTTATAGCATGAAAGAGCAAAACAAATCACTTGGCCGGCAACTCCCGATGATTTCTGGTGTGGTTTTCCACTCTGTAAACACTGTTTTGCACTTTACGTATGGGTTTTCTTGGCCATGCAGGCTTGTCTCTGATCACTGCCTCATAGGAAACCCCTTAGAGGGAAGCAGTAGTGGGAGGGAAACATTCAGGCAAACCACCCCACTGCACTCTGCCTACTGAACTGACAAAAGGAAATGGAAAATCAGTAAAACTGACATGTGTGGCAGAACACTGATCAGAGCAATTCTTAACATACACAGTCCGATTGTTTTAAAAATATTAAGCACTGATGCTTATTAATATATTTACTTTGATCCTTATGAGTCTATGTGTGAGGGTCAGTGTTTCAAAGGAGGAATGTTAAAGCTAGCACTTTGCCTAAGATGTACAGGTATAGTGAGTGTCAAGGCAGAAACTGCTGCTGCTGCTAAGTCGCATCAGTCGTGTCCGATTCTGTGCGACCCCATAGACGGCAGCCCACCAGGTTCTGCCGTCCCTGGGATTCTCCAGGCAAGAACACTGGAGTGAGTTGCCACTTCCTTCTCCAATGCATGAAAGTGAAAAGTGAAAGTGAAGTTGCTCAGTTGTGTCCTACTCTTAGCGACCCATGGACTGCAGCCTACCAAGCCCCTCTGTCCATGGGATTTTCCAGGCAAGAGTACTGGAGTTGGGTGCCATTGCCTTCTCCAAGGAAGAAACTAGAAGGACATAAATATTCTCAGATGTAAACACGATGAAAGTCAATAGTGTGCAATTCACTGATGAATATATACCTTCCAAGTCAAGCAAGGTGTCTAAAAACATTTTTCTTGATATGGTTTAAACTTTTCGGCTTGGGCACCTGCTTTTTGCAGCATGTCCCCGTGAGAGTGCATATTATGCTTACTTGGGAGTCACAGCCTTCTCTACCTAGAAGCACCTTAAGGTCAGCAGTCACACCACTGTGGCACACTCGCTCACGGTAAGGTAGGTTTGATCACACACATCCCCATCGGTCTGAATCTATATTTACATTTTTCTCCATATAGGTCATGAACATCCCTATGGAATTAAAATGAGTGATGTTCCAGCTACTGGGCTGCTGCAGCAAGGACTGGAGGACTCCACTTCTGCTTCTGCCCTCCAGGAGGACTTCCTGGAGGGGTCCCAAGAGATTCAAGACCAGTTTATCCTGAAACCCAGGCACTCAGCCAAGAACAAAGCCAGAAATCAGCAGGGGAAAGGTGAGCCCCTTCCTTTCCTACAAGTGGCTTCTCTTGGCTCTCGTCTCTACTCCTGAAAACAAACAACGTACAGCCAGTTCTCCATGTGGGGCTAGAAGGCAGTATAGGCAGGCACCAATTCCACCCAGAATCAAGCCCAAAGAAACACCAAAGGTCTGAAATCAAGACCCAATTCACTTCTAGGAAGTTTTTTTTTTTTTTTAATTCCTCTAGGTAGGCAGCATAGCACTTCCTACATATAATTCCGTATGCACACATCTGTGTGGACTTTGCTGGTGGCTTAAATGGTAAAGCATCTGCCTACAACACAGGAGATCTGAGTTTGATCCCTGGGTCAGGAAGATCCCCTGGCAAAGGGAATGGCTATCAGTCACACCAATATTCTTGCCTGGAGAATCCCACTGACAGAGGAGCTTGGCAGCCTACAGTCCATGGAATCATAAAGAGTCGGGCAAGACTGAACAACGTAAACACACACACACACACACACATCTATGTATCTTATTATAACATGAGCTTCTTATGGCCTGGGAACACACGTTCGCCATCCCAGGATTTTGTCCAGCATCCCGGGCACCTCACAGAAGGCATTTAGAGGACTGTGTGGCTTAGATAAGACCTAGAATCTATTCTGGGCTTAGGCTGAAGTGGCCTTGGGCATTCTGGTTAGACTTGAACTCTTTTGTTTTTACGTTGGTATATTTATTGAAGAAAATATATTTCAAAAAGAACAGTAACTAAAACATTTGCTATTTGCTAGCAGAATTAATTTTCTCTTAGTGTATTTTGTAATTATTAAAGTCCAAATGCTCTTGCATATAGTCTATAAGCAGAGAAGATAAGTTAGCAAGCACCTTGGTCTAACATCTATTTATAGAAAATCTAATATTCAGTTTTAACTAGTTTAACTTAGAGTCCTGCAATATAGTTCAGTTATCAACATCCTTGTTTTTCCGGTCAGTAAACTGATGTGCTAGTTCTGTTTGGGGGAAGACTATTTTACTTAATATTTTCCTATCCTTTTGATTTTCAAGAGGAGAGAAATCTTAGGACACTTGTGTTCAAATGTCTGGCATTGTGCCTAATGAATATTTTACTAATTAATGTTATCATTAGTAAAATGTTCATTCTGATTACTTCTTACACTGATTTAAAGTGACTTATGATAAAAGACATATATAAATTAGGTATGTTTGGGATTGACATGTACACACTGCTCTATTTAAAATGGATAACCAACAAGGACCTACTCTACACTACAGGGAACTCTGCTGGATACTCTGTAAGTACCTAAATGGGAAAAGAATTTGAAAAAGAATAGATATATGTATACTTGAATCACTTTGCTGTACAACAGAGGCTAACACAACATTACTAACCAGTTATGCTCCAATATAAAATAAAGCATTAAAAAAAGAAAAGAAACTTTCACAGAGACGAAAATAGCAATTAAAACTAAACAACATTGTTAAAAAAAAAACTAAACAACATTGTTCAGTTCAGTTCAGCTCAGTCGCTCAGTCGTGTCCGGCTCTTTGTGACCCCATGGACTGCAACACACCAGGCCTCCCTGTCCATGATGAATGCCCAGAGTTTACTCAAACCTATGTCCATCGAGCCAGTGATGCCATCCAACCATCTCATCCTCTGTTGCCCCTTCTCATCCTGCCTTCAATCTTTGTGAGGATCAGGGTCTTTTCAAATGAGACAGTTCTTTGCACCATATGGCCAAAGTATTGACATTGCATCTTCACCAACAGTCCTTCCAATCAACATTTAGGACTGATTTCCTTTAGGATGGACGGGTTGGTTCTCCTTTCTGTCCAAGGGACTCTGAGGAGTCTTCTCCAACAGCACAGTTCAAAAGCATCAATTCTTTGGTGCTCAGCTTGCTTTATAGTCCAACTCTCACATACATTCATGACTACTTGAAAAACCATAGCTTTGACTAGACGGACCTTTGTTGGCAGAGTAATGGCTCTGTTTTTTAATATGCTGTCTAGGTTGGTCATAACTTTTCTTCCAAGGAACAAGCATCTTTTAATTTCATGGCTGCAGTCACCATCTACTATGATTTTGGCACACAAAATCATAAAGTCTGTCAATGTTTCCACTGTTTCCCCATCTATTTGCTGTGAAGTAATGGGCCTAGATGCCATGATCTTAGCTTTCTGAATGTTGAGTTTTAAGCCAACTTTTTCACTCTCTTCTTTCACTTTCATCAAGAAGCTCTTTAGTTCTTCGCTTTCTCCCTTATCATCTGCATGTCTGAGGTTATTGACATTTCTCCTGGCAATCTTTTTTCTTTTTTTTAAATTTACTTAATTGCAGGCTAATTACTTTACAATATTGCAGTGGTTTTGTCATACATTGACATGAATCAGCCATGGGTGTACATGTGTTCCCCATCTTGAACCCCCCTCTCACCTCCCTCCCCATCCCATCCCTCTGGGTCTTCCCAGTGCACCAGCCCTGAGCACCCTGTCTCATGCATCCAACCTGGACTGGTGATCTGTTTCACATATGATAATTTACATGATTCAATGCTCTTCTTTCAAATCATCCCACCCTCGCCATCTCCCACAGAGTCCAAAGACTGTTCTATACATCTCTGTCTCTCTTGTCTCACATATAAGGTTATCATTACCATCCTTCTAAATTTGATACATATGCGTTAGTATACTGTATTGGTGTTTTTCTTTCTGGCTTACTTCACTTTGTATAATAGGCTCCGGTTTCATCCACCTCATTAGAACTGACTCAAATGTACTCTTTTTAATGGCTGAGTAATATTCATTGTGTATATGTACCACAGCTTTCTTATCCATTTGTCTGCTGATGGACATCTAGGTTGTGTCCATGTCCTGGCTATTATAAACAGTGCTGCAATGATCATTGGGGTACACGTGTCTCTTTCTATTCTGGTTTCCTCGGTGTGTATGCCCAGGAGTGGGATTGCTGGGTCATATGGCAGTTCTGTTTCTAGTTTTTAAAGGAATCTCCACACTGTTCTCCATAGTGGCTGTACTAGTTTGCATTCCCACCAAAAGTGTAAGAGGGTTCCTTTTTCTCCATACCCTCTCCAGCATTTATTGCTTGTAGATTTTTGGATAGCAGCCATTCTGACTGGCATGAAATGGTACCTCATTGTGGTTTTGATTTGCATTTCTCTGATAATGAGTGATGTTGAGCATCTTTTCATGTGTTTGTTAGCCATCTGTATGTCTTCTTTGGAGAAATGTCTGTTTAGTTCTTTGGCCCA